TAAAATAACGAAAACATTAGTTCCTATGGCAAAACAAAAAAAACAACAATCAAACAATGAAGGAAATGTTAGAACCAATTCGTATTTTAGTCACAAATGACCACAAATATCTCTTAGCTTACTCAAAATTATGCCTCTTTCTTGAGATGGCTCATAATGAAAAAGCCACTAACATCAAACAACTTGCCACACAGTTTACAAAAAATATCGATGGATTGAAAACTATGCTGACTGATGTAAGGCACAAGTTACCCAACAGAGGAATGAAGATTAGAGTATCAAAAATTATTAAAGAACTAAGTGGTACTGTTTCTAGTCCCAACACAGAACTATTTTCAGACTCTGACGATTCAACGCTTTCTAGTGTTGATCTTCAGGCCAAAAAATAAAAAAAATGTTTAACTCCATGGAGCAAATAGTTCAGTGGAATTGTAATGGGTTATTTCGCCATTTAGAATTTTTTCAGAAATTAATGAATGAAGAAACTCCACTGTGCTGTTGCATACAAGAAACCCACTTGAATGAAAAACATGTCTTAAATGTCAAAGGATATCGAGCCTACAGAAGGGATAGACAAGGAGCAGGGAGATCTTGGGGTGGTGTTTTAACCCTTGTGAGGGCTGACTTATTCTCCGAGGAATTAAATTTAGACACACACATAGAAACAGTCGCAACAGTAATCAAAGGAGCTGAACCCCTGACAATTTGCAACATTTACATACCATCCGCTGTCGATTTCTCAAAGGATGACATTGAACACATTGTTAATCAGCTACCAAGGCCGTATCTTCTTTTGGGGGATTTTAACGCAAATAGTTTTCTTTGGGGCTCCCCACTACCAGACATTGGACATAGAGGACACAGCGTTATTAAATTTTTAGAATTTAGCAGCACTGCTACTCTTCTAAATACCGGTTCATTTACACACTTCGGCTCAGGAAGTAATAGTCTTTCTGCCATTGACTTAAGCATCGCGGACGTCAGATTGGCCCCCAAATGCATCTGGAGAACTAAAACCCACTTATATGGAAGCGACCATTTCCCCATCGTTATACAGGTTAATGGGCCGTCTCTTCCACAAAATATAAAGCGACACTGGAAGTATGAGGCAGCTGATTGGGAATCTTTTCAGAAATCAATTATATTGGCCAAGGATAATCTAGAAAGAACAGCTAATAACATAGATCTTCAGGTAGCGAATTTGAATCATATTATTTTGCAAGCAGCCTACGACAACATTCCAATCACAAGTAATGGTCTCCTTAAGAAAAGAGTTCCATGGTGGAACGAAAGATGTCAGGAAGCAGTGAAAGCAAAAAAACGGGCTTTCAACAGGTACAAAAGAAGTAGGAGTTTCAATGACGCAGTTGAATTTAAGAGACTTCGAGCAATCGCAAATAGAACTATTAAAGATAGTAAGAAGTCATCGTGGAGAGAATTCGTTTCCTCTATTAACTGTGAAACACCAGTTACAGAAGTATGGAACAAAATTAGATCTATTCGTGGAATTAACAAAAAAAAACCAATATCAGGGATAGATGTAGCAGGGAATATAATAACAAATCCATCAGAGATAGCAGAGACATTGGCACAACAATTTTGTAAACCATTGATTAGTTGCCTCAATAATAAGGAACCAGCGGACATTGCAAACCAAGGAGTAATGCCAAGGCTACAAGTGCCAAGTTCTAATGTTTGCTATGATGAACCTTTCACATTGAAAGAAATGGAAATGGTAATTAAAAAATGTCGTGGAAAGTCAGCAACAGGTATAGACGAAATTTCTAACGAAATGATAAAACACTTACCAGATGAAGGTAGATTATACTTATTTCAAATATACAACGAGATCTGGGATGCTGGTGAACTCCCTAATCTATGGAAAACCTCAATTATCACTCCGGTCCCAAAAAAAGATATTCCAACCCACCCAAATGACTTTCGTCCTATTTCATTACTATCGTGCCTCTCTAAATTACAGGAAAAAATGGTAAACAATAGACTTGTTGATTACATGGAACGAAACAAACTATTTACCCCCCACCAATTTGGTTTCAGAGAAGGACATTCCACAACTGATGCACTTTTGTTAATGCAACATGAAGCAGACGAAGCATTCTCTCAAAAAGAACATTTGGTTGCTGTCTTTTTGGACCTGGAAAAGGCTTATGATACCATGTTAAGAGGCCGCGTAATGCAAATCTTAGATAATTATGGTGTTCAGGGAAAATTGAAGGCGTACATTGAGAACTTTCTTAAAGAAAGAAAATATCAAGTCAGAGTTGGGTCCTCCTTGTCGTCAATCCACGTTTCTCAAAATGGCACGCCCCAAGGTTCACCTCTAAGTGTAACTCTGTTTTTGATTGCTATGAATGATCTACCACCGAATTTCAAATGGCCTATTAAAATCATAATGTTTGCCGACGATGTATTATTATTAGTTCGCAGCAAATCTCTCTATTTTATTGAGTGGAAACTACAGAAAGCACTGAGAAAAGCAGAAAAATGGGCACGAAATAGCGGTTTTAATTTTTCGATAAATAAAACAAAGGCCATGCATATATGCAGAATTAGAGGATGCTCTACGAATCCTAAACTAAAATTAGGGATGGCCGACATCTTGTTTGAAGATCACCAAAAATACCTAGGAATCCATCTAGATAAAAGCTTAAAGTGGACTGACCACATTAAAGGTCTTAAACAAGAATGTTTAAAAAGACTTGGCCTCCTAAAGTGTCTTTCGCATTCTAGTTGGGGAGCTGACAGAAGCAGTCTATTAAAGGTATACAAAGCGATGATCCGAAGCAAAATAGATTATGGAGCATGTGTATATGGAACCTCAAAAAGAAGTATTTTAAAAATTCTTGACCCAATCCATAATGCTGCCTTGAGGATATGCTCAGGAGCTTATAGAACATCGCCAATTGAGAGTCTATATGCAGAATGCGCCGAACCATCCCTCGAGACAAGAAGAGCATTTATGATTGCAAAATATGGGGCCAAAATAATGTCACTTCCACGACATCCCTTACGAGACATCATATTAGATCCAGAAACAGTTTCAATCAATAGCAGTTTCAAGCGAAATATAATCCAAACAACGTTAGCATTCAATATGAACCTAAATTGCATCCAAAAGCTCCCAGATAAAAAATTTCCAAGGTGGAATCCTCCGAATATTCCTACAGAAAAATATATGTCCCACATCTCAAAAAAAACTCTAGTTTCGGATGAAAAAAAATCTTATTTTCTTGAATTATTAAATAAATACTGCAATTACAAAATATTGTACACAGATGCATCAAAAGCCGAAAACCAAGTGGGATTTTCAGTCGTTACAGACAGTGAAGAATTCCTGTACAAACTTTCAGGAGAATGTTCTATTTTTACGGGAGAAGCCACGGCCATAAAAGAAGCACTCTTACACATCCGCAGCAACCACTTCAAAAACCATGCTATCGTAACCGATTCAATGTCCGCAATAGAAGCCATAGAACAATCAACGAACCAGCATCCTGTTATAACAGACATTTTTAACATATATGGTGAACTAAAGGAAGAAAATAAAAACATAGTCCTTATCTGGGCACCATCACATTGTGGTATCCTGGGTAACGAGAGAGCCGATGCTGCTGCCAACTCTGCCCGGCGTCAAGGAACTGCACAAACCACAATAATTGATGCTATTCCTCGAGAAGATTGGACACACCAACTTGCCTGCTCCTTTCAAAATAAATGGAACATTGAATGGGAAATGAGTTCGGCAAAACTTCAGGAAATAAAAACAACATGTATCAAATGGAACACATCAAACAGAAAGTCTAGACGAGAAGAAGTGATACTATGTCGCCTAAGAATTGGCCACTGTGAGTTTTCCCATGGATACCTCCTGCGAGGATTAGAAGCTCCAACTTGCACACATTGCCTAGTACCCAGAACAGTAAAACATATACTATTAGAATGTAGAAGGTACACCAATATAAGGAAAAAATTTCAAATGGGAACGGAAATGAAAACAATTCTGCAAGATGAAGAGAATGAAATAGAAAAATTGTTCAAATATCTAAAGAATATTCACTATTATCAACGAATATAAAATGGAAACATTAAGCCAATGACCCTTAGGGGTAGAGGCTAAATAAACAAATAAAAAAAAAAAAAAAAAAATAATAAAAAAATACAGAAATTGGTAGCAAATTAAATAAGTCATAAGTAAAACAAATAGATATATAAAAAAGAAAAACTATAAAAAAGAAAAACTATAAAAAAAAGAAAAACTATAAAAAAGAAAAACAATGAAAAAATTAGAAGCGTTAAATGCAAAAGTATATAGGTTCTTGCAAAGTGCAACACCAAGAAATAGTTTGGGGCAACACTAGAAATAGTTTAATTTAGATTTATATTGAATGAAAATTAATGTAAAATGAATATTAGGTTTGCATAAAAAATAATAATAATTGTTTTAAATGGAATTTCAAACAAAAATAATTTTTTTTTAAATCTTGTAACGTTATGTTTAAACATTTCTTTTAGTGAATTTTGTCTTTGGTAGACACATCCTCAAAAACTATTGATTATCAGGTGGTGTCAATTCTCCAAATCTACCGATAATCTCTGCTCCGCGTTTTTATAAAACAAATACTCAAAATTCAACACATTGTATTGAATATTAAAAAAATTAAAAGTTTTTTTTCTTCTTTTATACTCCAAGGGAACTGAATTAAACATTTAGGACAGTCCTAACTCATTTGAATGGTTTAAAAACGCTATATCATAAGTCTAAAGACTGATAGAGATAAATTGATAAAGTCTGAGTCAAAGAAAATGCACTGTAATGTATAAATATAATTCAAAATTGAATGATTTATCCAAAGAAAATACGACCAGAATTTATTTTCTAATTTTTATTAACTAACGGAACATCTATCACTGATAATTAAATCGATTCGCCATAAAACATAATAAATTACGAAACATACCTATGATAAAGGTTTACTTATTCACATCACGTCACGATAGCTTTCGGAGTCGTACGTGATGAGGCAACCGCTCACGAGCTGAACCAGCAGCTGATGAAGCTGAGATGTAAGATTTCGAAACTCTTTGAATGAATTGACCTCTGCTGTCCGTCGAAATGAAAATTGAAGAAATATTTTCAAAAAGAGTGTTTATAACTAATTAAAAGAGTTAATTGTCAAAACAACAAGAAATCAGTAGACATTTTCAGAATTAGGCTAAATTTCTTGGAAACTCTTACTTTATAGGGAAGTTGAAAAATTAGTTCATTTTGAATAATTTGTTAAAAATCGTTTAATTAGTAATGCAGAAACAAATATGATTATTACTTTTTTTCATTTATTTTGTTTAGTGAAGAAATATCAAAACAATATGAAAATAAGTAGTTCCTATGTATTATGTAAGAAAGGAATTAATATTTTTTCCTAAGTCGATTATAATTATATAAGTCGATTATATTCCTAAGACTATATTAAACATAATAGACCAAAACATAAAAATTGCTCTGCTAAGACATATTTTTAAACGCTGACTGGAAATATAATAAAAGTAATAAAGACAAAATAATGCATAGGATATTAATAGAATCATAGGATATTCTAAATTATTAAACAAAAAAAAAATGTAAGAACAACCAAATGTCTTCAAGAAATAATAAAGGTAATATAAAAGGCAGGAAAAAAATGTAATAGACTATTCTACTCCTAAATGCAATATCTTTAAACAGGAAAACATTATTAAGTATACCAAAACTAATGGACTGTATCTTCGTTAATAATTGTCCGATTTTTACGATTTTTTTTTGTTTCGTAGGTAATTTAGTAATCTTTCTAATTAATGAGTACAATCAAAGTGAGTACAAGAAAAAAATGCATACTTTTTGAGTAATTCGCAAATAAAGTTTCTTTTCCTCCATAACTATTTTCCCAGAAATTTCGGGGGGATGGGACTATTTTTCGCAGGTGAAGGAGAACAATATCTTCAAAATAAGTGATTAATCATTGGATTTGATGAAGAATTGATGAAGTTATGGCTTACCGACAAAAAACCACCTTTTAGAAATAATATATAGGATAAAATTCTGGACATTGTTTGTAGTGAGATAACATCATATTCATATTATACATACAAAAATATAAAATAAACCGAAGCGAAATAACAACTAAATAATAATCTACAATAAAAATAATACTAGAATAAATAAAAACAAAATAACTTAAAGATAAGTAAATTTAAAAAAAAACAGACTTACACGATTTACAATGAGGCGAGGGAACACCTAGGCAGGCTTGCCCCATAAATTATGAAGGAAAAATCAGAACTCCATGAGATCCCTGAGCTACTATCCTAACCGCGTTATTGGTATTGTAGCGGCATATCCTTACTGCCTGTCATAAGCTTACTGCCTGGAGTGACGAAAAAAAAAACGAAATAGGTTATATAGACTGGAATACTTGTGTGTTAAAAATTGTACTCATGTGTAATTTTCTGTTAATTTTTCTTTGTCTATTATCTTACTTATTTTATATTTATACCGGAAGACTCATTATTTTCATTTTGTTATTTCATAACAAGAAACATTTTGATTATTGTTTTGTCAAAATTTAATTTACTAGTTTTTAGTAATTCAAAGAGGTACTGAGATATCTTGCTTTATTATTTACAACCAACCTGTCAAAGTACTAAAGTCATTGGAGATTGATCTAGAGCGTTTTAACCACAAGTATGCATTAATAACAATCAATTTAGTCGTTAAGACTGTAAGTTTCATGTTATGAACGCTTTATAAATTTAATATCTACAATAAGGTTATAAACAGTTTAAAATTAATTATCTAGATACAAATAATGAGTCTGTTGGGCATTTGTATATTAAACAATGGGATCGCCAAATCCGCTCGGAAACGGACAACACCATCGCTAACGCCAACAACCGACCAATGCTTTCACCAATCCGCCAATATTCACAAATATTCCATCCATAACTATGGCCAACGATGTTAGCAAAACTATTCCGCTGGTTCGGAGACAGTTTGGAATGTCATATTTGTTCAAATATGCCGAATCAAAAATAATAGAAAAGAATGGCATAGCATGAATAGAAAATAATGGAACAATGGAATAAGTTTTAAAACTAGAACGAGCATTTTTGTAACGAAAATAATTTTTCAGGCAATACTTATATATTTGATATAATAATAATCTTTTTATAAGAAATAATAACTGAGGTTATATTAATATGAAATCCGGTCTCAGTGCTCCACTTGAAATAGACGTAGACAATAATAGAATGCAATCAGCGTAAAATTAAATGCATGTCTGTGTTCGTTTGAAACAAAATTTGTAGGATGCATCAAATTAGAAGTCTAATTTGTTTACATCACAACCGAGGAGGAAGTGTGGAAGGGTAGGCCTGTAATAATCATGACTTGAACAAATGAATGAAGAGTTGTCCTGGAGTGAAGAGTTCCCCCCTCAAAAAAAAAAAAATTGGAAGGGTTCCAAAACGACCTTTGACAAACCAAAATACTGAGACAGCTGTGCTGTCAGCCAAGGAAATAATATTTTATGGATTGATGTAAGTATTAGAGAACAAGAAGCACTTAATAGAAGTCATAAATAATATGTCCACAAAAAAAAATCAAAACGCTAACAGCTTGTCATAACGCACTTCTTGAAATCTATTTTTTTCTTTTCTTTAACTCTATTAACTGTCTTTTAGATGTACTTTTCGATCTATCTGAGTAAGCTATTTCCATACAACTAAAAGAAGAATAAAAAAAAAGAGGGAAAAATATTGCTTCATGGATCTTCATAATAATATTCATAATGGATAGTCCCTAAAATTTAAAAATAACAAGTTTAAAATTTAAAGAAAAATTCTAAGCAAAACCTCTTCTAATTTAACTTTCACAAACTAAAAATAATATATATATAAACTGATTTTTTTATAAAATCTTTTTCACCAACTTGGGTCTAAACAAAAACTGCATCTCAAATTAAAATATTCAACATTAAAAAATTAAATGTTTATGAACATAAATAAGAAATAAAAGCAAACCAAACTGTATGGAATCCCTTCAAACTAATATATTTATATTAATTTTTAATATATTTATATAATTTGTAATTAAAGAAAATATATTCTCTAAACTAAAGCTACATTTGTCTCGTTGCAGAGTCATCGTTAAAGGATGATCGAATTGTCCACCTTCCAACCAAGTTCCACCTTCAAACCAATTATATAAAAAAACTATAAATTGAAGATATAAATTTAAAAAAAGTATTAAATACAACTTTTTTCATAACATATCAGATTAAGTTTATAAAGAAAAAAAAATTAAAAATGTTGGACTTGAATTCCTCAAATTTAACATTTTGCATTTTAATAAACCAAATTTAGGACATGTAGGAACTAAATGTACTAACATGCAGGTTCAATTAGTGTTTAAGCCAAATTGTAATTTAAAAGTATAGTAACTGTAATAAATAAGTTGCAATAAATTTTAAAAATCATCATATCAGTTATACCTTATTTCTAAAGTTGGTATGAGCTTGTTATTTTTTAATTGTATCATACTATAAATTCTAAAATAATTTTTTAATTTGTATTAAATCTAATCTGAATAATACTGAAATGAATTAATATTGAATCAAGCATAAATGAAAAACAATGTATTTCACAATAAAAATTAAGCAAAAAAATTATCGACGAGGATGGGATTCGAACCCACGCGTGCAGAGCACATTGGATTAGCAGTCCAACGCCTTAACCACTCGGCCACCTCGTCCTCGACCTTCGGTGGCTCATCAACGCCAACACTGTCAAAATTATTTAATGAGTAAGATTTAACAATTAAAACTTACTTTACAATTTTACAAATTACATTACGAAACAGTTATTGGTTTTAATATTAAAAATAATTGAAGGTCTGATTTTTGGTTGACACTTTAATGTTGCTCTATCTAACCATATAAATTGACAAAAGAATGTTTATAATTTAGAGAAAAATATTATTTCCGATTTAATAGCTTGAGTGATCGGTTGTTTTTATCGTCAGCTTAAAGTACAGGTTATTGTTGTAAATGATAATTTGTTCATATACGTAACTACTAATTACATTTCGTTATAATTAATATTTATATTATAATATAATTTTTTTAATAGCTTGAAATGTAATATTCTGCTTCCAAATATTAATGTTAACGTAATCATGGCTTTACCTATTCATAAATAGGTTATTTTGTAGTTCATAAAACAAAAATATTTTTATTTTTTATTAATGAATAAAGAAAAAAAATATCTTGCAATAAAATGAGTCTTGTATGAATCAGTTAGTGATGAAGAACACATTTAATATATTCTACGAAAGGGAAGTAAAAAAACGATATTCGATGAAATAAAATAATAACAAACCGACGAATTATATTATAATGTTACATTTTAAGAAATTTTATGAAGCGGTGGATTCATCTTGAAAATGACTCCTGAAATCGATACGTCGAAAAAATAATGCATGGTGTGATGATGTGTACATTTTGTGACCTTTGGCCTAATGTTTTTTTAAAAAAAAACTTAAAATGGCACTGAACCTGAAAGATATGACTAGAAAAAGAAAAAATTTCATATATGTCGACAAGGTGGTTACAGAAAATTAGTCGTGACCGATATTAATATATTTTTTTTATTGCACCCAGATATGTAAATAAAGCATTGTTATGAAGAAGGAATCATAAAATACTTTAATCACCACGAGAATACTTTACTAAAATACCTTTGCCGTAGTTTGCAACCATAGTCGGAGACTTCATTAATATACTCATACGAGAAAAAAACTATATATATACACACATATATATAATTTTTTTTTAAATATATAGTATTTTATTGTCCGTTTTAATTATGTTGATTTTTCAATTATCACTCATAATTTTTATAATAATATAATTTCCCGAGACTTTTTTTGAGGAAGGGGGAGGGGATCATTGCCCCTCCCCCCAACCAGAATTGAAAATCTACTCATATGGATACAATGTATCGGCTAATTCAGGCCATCAGACATCACATAAAGCATACACTCAAAAATTTTATATTTAGCTCCAATCATTGCAATTTTATCCTCCTTGATTTTGGTTTTGGATTCCTCGTGAAAAAATAACAATCTGTCGTTAAAGGGGCTTTTGGCGTATTAATCCTTCTAGAAAAGAAAGATTCAATGTAATATCATTTTTCAATTATTACTTATTCACAAGCATTTTGGGCGATGGCCAATGACAACATTGCAAGGATATGTGTCAGTGTTCTAAGTAATAACATGGTACGATATTCGAATACAAAAGACACCGCGATCCTGTGTCTTGATTATTCATTTCGACAATATGGGCTGCAATATTCAATACTTATTTGGTACTCATTAGGTTTTCCTGCTAGATAGTTACATATGACGCCAGAGGACCGTACATACGTCATCCACTACCTGAGCTAATATGTCCTAAGATAAAACGGGTACAGAACTGTATTGTTCCTTCAATCGATAGTAGAATAAAATTAGATGAATTTTGGAGATAGAAATCTTACTTAAATGCACTTTCAAACTTAGCAAAGCTCTTGCGGGCTCATTACTTGATGCTAATAATAAGATTTTTACGGACCTAACATCCCTGAAAAAAAAAAAATTACTGCAAAATGATAACCGATAATCAAATTATTAACTGAGAATTAGGAGACTTCCGAATTTTCTTTGAAAACTCTAAACATAAACTTGAGAATAATTGTTGTTTCTTTATCCTATTTTAATCTCGTAGTTGATGACGATATTAACTTTAATATAGTTTTATAGGACTATAATACTCCTTCATGTTGTTACCTATACTTAAAATAGCAACTTTATTGGACCTGGCCTATAATTAAGACAAAAGTGTTCCTTTATTTAATATGGGCAAAAACTAATCATATTTATATGTTAGTAGGTAAGTTAATACATATGTTGAGTATGATTTTGTTTTGTTGCAACATTGGTAGATAGATTAAACTAAATAAAGGGGAGGGATTCATTTCTTTTCCAATGATGGTCAGATTCCAATACTCCAAAAAGATCAACCTTGATAGGAAGTACTTCCCCACCATCCGATAAAGTTTAGAGACTTCCGAGCATAGCTTCTTGGTCATGGGATGGATAACGATCTCCAACACCTTAGCTGCGGTGTTCCGGAGTCTGCTGAGGACACCACTGTCGACTGAACCAGCTTTGAAGAATTAAGGGTTAAATCACTGAGGGAAACATTTTTCTATATTCCCATAGAGAACAATTTCCCTGTGTTAGTTCTAATAGAAAACTATCCCTACTACAAAGAATTTATGTACTAGTGGGAAGCTGTAGGGGATCCAGCCCACTCCAATCTCACAAGAAGAGGTTAACATAATAGAAGATCTCCGAATTGAGAAAGACTAATTTGAATCAAGACAGATAAATCATGACTAATAGACAAATAAGCTTTTCTTGTAGTGTTAAAATGTTATACTATGAGGCGTAACATCGTACTACGGCAGTCATTATTATTGCCTAAAAGGCAAGGAAGGGTTTCAATAAATTAAAATTAAAAAAAAATGTACGATTCCAGCAACTAGTAGAAAACGTGTTTACTTTATATATATATTCGTGGATTAATTCTGGGGTTAAAGTTGTCACCTGACGAACTTTAGGATTGAAGGTGGATTCTCTTCCTTTATAAAAGTTAATTAAACAATAACGTATTTTTTTATTCCGTTTTTAGAACAAATTCTTTAAGACTAGATTAATATTTAATACAAATCGATTGGACATCTGAAGCATTCCATAAAATCTGAAGCATTCTTCTCAGGCCTTAAAGGGATTCCAGTCCCGTGTTAAAAACTATGGTCATTAATCAGTAGATAAAAATAGATAACGATATTAGATAAAAACCGAACATTTCACGTTTAAATGGTTTTCTATTTAATGTTGTCAATGCATAAGTGATCTCGTAAAGATTAAGCGTGCGCCCAAGCTTCACTCCTACACGGGCAGCTTTCCCCCGTTGGATATATTTAAGGCTACTTAAGGGAGGAGATAGGAGGTGATAACGGTTATCTTTGGAAAGGTAATAAATCGGTACTCACCAGACCGTGGCAGAGGCTGAGGGACACGATGGAGTCGGCATCGCCCACCACCTTCCCAGTGTACATGCACCCCTGGGCGTTCACAGGAGGTTCTTCGACGCGTGTCATGTTGTCCCAGACGTGGACCACCTGAAAACACATAGTAATCATCACTATTCAAATTTACAACAAAAAATACATTAAACAATCTTCTAATAATTCATTAATCATATAACTCCTACATAATCATATGTCTTATAATCCTACTTTTTCCTATACAAGTAGGAGAGAAAGGGAGCCCAATGAATGTTTGTAATTGTTGTTTATAACTATGTACCTGCGGCCCGGAGGTAAAAGAGATCATGCCAATTTTATTATTAAATAGTTTAGTAACTAAAAAATAAATTTCAATAGTTCAATATTATGGAAAATTGCTTCCCCAAACAAAAAAAAAAAACGACAATCTAGGTGTTATTTACCTCCGGTGTACAGATATTTAAGTTGTTATTTTGATTATTTGAACTATAGTTTTTTTTATGTTTACTCTTAGTGCAAAAAGATTTATGTAATAATTTTACATGCTTATTCTCTTTCTGCTAAAGATGACATTTATAGTCTTCAATAGCTGTAAGTTGTCTGCTAATTAGGAAAGCAGCAAAAAAAAATAAAATATGGAATTTTAATAATTTGTTGAGAAAGAATTGGATTTTATGCTCATCTGTAAAAAAAAAAAAAATCAATATTTAAATTGCACTAACAGTAGCGAATTGATGTTTATTTTTAACATTATTATTTTGATCTTGTCACGTTTAATTTATCTTTATTTTTTGTAAATGAACTGTTAGTAATCTTCTTAGTTGTAACATAATTTAATTTAACTCAATAAAGATAATTAAAAATAAAATTGAAAAATCATATACTGAAAATTGGACCACTATTAATTTAAAAGGAAACAATAAAGATATAATTTAATATATAATATAAATTAATATATAATATAATTTAATTTGATATAATATGATGTAATTTGATGAAATTTGTATAGATTTTTTTTTTATTGTTTCAGTGAGATTAATTGTGATCCAATTTTTTTATCAATGAGTTAAAGATTATTTTAAAAAAGTTAATAACCAAATCAAAATGAGTTATCCAAGAAGTGCAAATCATGAGTAAATAATAATAATAATAACAATAATACTCCAATAGTTTAGTAAGTTAAAAATAAGTCATCATGACCTACAGAATACAAAATAACATCTATAATGACTAGCTATTAATATTATGTTACATACAAGTACACTAGATAAACTTTACTGATATAATATAAATTTTACTAATACTAACACTGCTTAATGTAACAATAATAATAAGAATATTATTAATTAATAATGATTAAAACTAAAAAAAAGCAAAAAATTCATGGATGTCATTTTTAACCCACAACCTACATTTAATAATAATTTAATTTTTCTAAACTGTAAAGATACATTTTTTAGTAAATAAAGTCACTCGTTTTCAAAATCACGGTCTTGAATATATATTTTAATAAATTCTGGAATGATTCAAAATGGAATCCATTTTCAACACAACGGACTTTACAAGCTTTTAGAAAACAAAAAAAAAAGTATCGAATAGTGACTCCTTAAAAAAGCTATAAGCCCTTAATTGTCACTAAAAGACCGAACTGTGTTTATATAGCCTAAGACAGAAGGCCCTTGCTCCCGTCCCTTATAGCTACTAAACCACTCACCCCGGTAACGTATTGATGGTTAGGGTTGAAGTTAACTGGGTCATATATTTTTAACTTATGTTTTTTACTTTTAAAATTTTCTATACCCCCTTCTTGAGGTCAAGAGTTTAAAGGTTTTAAAGGCGCCCGTGATTTAATGGTCTTCGCCGAGAAGAAAGCTTCAACCCAATTGTGGTGCCATACAAAGGCACTTAACAGTGTCACTTTAAATAAAAATGACCAAGTGGCACAAGAGTTGTGTAATGGGAATAAAATCATCATTTCACTCCTTCATCCCAAAAGGGTTAAGTATAGAATTATCAAGTATCGAAATTATACATTATATGCATTATAATACTTGGAGTGGCCTAGCGGGCTAAAGCGTTACAGCACCATACGTTGCCCGGCAACTTAATAACCGAAGTTTTGAGATAAACAAATAATTACAATACAATACAAAAACAAAAATTGAAAAATTAAAATATAGTTAAAAAACTATTTTTAATAATTTAAAGATAAATGAATCCCCATACCAGACTGAAACGACTAGAAACCACCCGACGTTTTTGAATACTGTAGCACTTACACAAACGCTCTAAGCTTTCAATCAATTACAAACGACTCATATATATGGCAATAATAAGACCTATTTGGAATTACGTAATTGAGCTTTGGGGCTCCACCAAACCATCGAATTCCTCGCGTATCCAATCCTTACAATCCAAAATCCTTCGTAAAATCCTCAACGCTCCTTACTTTGTCACAAATAAAATCATCCATAAAGACCTTAATGTTCCATAAGTTTCCGATTTGGCCCAATCCAGATACCTATCCTTCCATAACAAACTGCAAAACCATCCGAACCCTCTCATTTTAAACCTTGCTTCCTCCTCGACCCCTGATAACCCTCCGAGGTTTCTTAAAAGAAGATGGCCTCGGGACCTTCTAATATAGAACTTTAATTTGAGTTCTACCAATGGGTAGTTTCTCTTCATGTTGTGTGACCATTGTCACACTTACTTGTTGTATTTTTTATGTAATACAGTTGTAAATTTCATTAAAAAAAAAAGGATTAATGGAATATTTAAGTACTGAAGGATGTAGGTGATATAATATGAAAATTTTCACTGATTTTAAACTGACTGAAAATATGAAACAGTTCCCAATTTTAAAGAATTTAAAACTAATCTGTAAGATAAAAATACCAATAAATTACCCGTAATTTGATGCAGTAAAATGAAGATGTGGAAATATTTTATAAAATTGCATGACAAGTGCTGATAATGGATAAGATTTCGTGCAAAAGGGAATGAAATAGGTTCGAGTAAATAAAAACCAATTTCGTCCTTAAGAAAGTGAACATAGAATCTCGTGATCTGCAGCCTAATCTAAATTTAATTTAAGTGATAAACAGGTCAATAAGTATGGATTATGAAGAAATTAATACTAGTATAGCTAATATCAGCATACTAGGAAGGTTGAAAGAAGTATTGATGGAAAAGTTGAGTTGTCTGATTCTAGTTTAAAGAAGTTGAAAAAATCTGAAGAAACACCCACATTTAATTTAATTTTGTTAATTTCTATTTGTTATTGTTTTGTTAATTTCTAACATACTGATTTCTATGCATTATATTTAAAACTGTTATAATACCATAGCAGTAGGGTTTCATAAAAATGGTACACCAAAAAAATTAAATTTCATTTAATACTTTATTACTCGTTCCACCTTTTATGCTGTGCTTGGCCATTTCTTGCATGGAGGAGGAAAGGAGAGAAGTTTTTTGTCCTATCCTTCCTCGTTTTTTAGGCTATACGGTGTTTTCCTGGGTCAGAGGAGAGTGCGAGGTATTAATGCCAGATTTAAAAGCACTCCTCGAAATAATACTTCAAATCATAATTATCTGAGCATAGTAACTTATGTTTTTCAGGTCGCCGAGCCAAGTGTGTTTTGCACACGCGTTAGTCCGCTCGGCCAAACCGCCCCTGAGAGATCGAGGTAGTTTTATAGATCTAAGTATTAACTAGATATACTAGAGCTTGCTAAGGTTATGACGCTTTAACACTCTCAGACATCACAGTCTCAAATCATATTTTATTATTAACGTCTAACGTCTAAAATGATTTTTAAAAAAAAAGTCTTTAAGATTAGAAATTTAAATCACTAAGTAAATGGATGATTTTTTCTTTTGTGAAATCAAACCATAATGCACTTGCTGTACCCATTGTTGAATTATAATTTGAAAAGGGTTTGTTTTGTTTTGGTATACGTAATGAGTCCTTTCAATAGATATTATCAGAATTCAGTAATATACAAGCACTATTTTAGCTCCATTAGAAATGTAACTAATCAAGTTTTCCATTATACCGACGAAATATAGCAGATGAAGATTTAATGTTAAGTGAAATTTATTAAAATTATTTCATATTTATCAACTTCATTGAGTTCGAATAATAATTTTTTTTCTTTAAAGAAAAAATAAATCTGCTAAGCCCATTGTGGATACATCAATACAAACTAACCACTTATCTACGATTGATAAATACTGTCTCTGGCAGGACTATCTATTTTGCGCCAATCGGATCGTTTCAGTGATCCCAACAAGAAATTGCATTTATATTACCCTCCTATCTAAGCTGCTATCTTTACAGCAGCCGAAGATTTAGGAGGTAGCGAAAATGGAAAAGGGGGTAGGGATTTATCTCCAGTTTCGCCGAAATTAGATAATGGGACTCTTGAACATTGGGGTGGCGTTACAAGATAGTAAACTTGATGGATTATCCAACTTCCGGCACTTCGAAAAAGATTGTACTAGACTTTAAAAATAAGAAGTTCTAAGTTGAGAAGTTCTGTTACTAAATGTAACTATATCTATTGAATAGTGTTAAAATAATAATTAAAAAATAAGAATAAAGCTTCTTCTAAAGGTTGAAATATCGAAACATTTACAGTGAATCAGCAGAAGAGAGAGGATACTCATAAAGGGAAAAGAAAAACGACGAATATACGAAATATAAACTAAAAATCATCATACAAATGATCAAATCTAATTTTATAGTCTGAATTATTTTCTAAAACCTGTTACAAACTATATAATATACCTATATAAAAAATATATGAAATATTAATTTGTGATATTTATTTTATTGTAATGTCGTAAAAACTGCTTGCAGTCTATTTTGATTTGATAACAGTTAGAGTTTCATAATAGATTATATACCTATATAAATATATTATTCATAACTCTACTTTAATTTAATTATGTTCAAATTTCTGTTTTCTTCCGAACGACTTTGAACTTAGTCCAAAAACTGAACTAACCGTTAAATACCTCTGATTAGAGATGTCGTTAACAGGGAAATAACATGTTATCGGTTAATCGGGTTGTTTTCACCTTCTTTTTAACCTAATAGTTGCAACCGT